TTTATGAAAACCAGATTCATTAAATATAGCAAATTGTGCTCCTAATAATTTAACAACAAAACGAACTGTTGCATCAGTATGATATTCTAATTAGAAAAAAAATTATTTATTTAATTGTCGAATAAAATTCATAATTTACCTGTATAAACAAGAATACTTGATGCAATATCATTTCGTTTTGGATGAAGCATTCCTTCAAGAACATTTTCTTTATATTGTTGTTTCCAAGTACGAATTGGTAAATCAGTTATTTCAATAGATATTTCATCAAGTTTAGCACAAACACCATTAATAAAATCACGTGTACAATCATTATCTAATAATTTAATTTCACCAATAAAATTTTTATACCAGGGAATTAATTCTTCTAATGTAATAACATCAGAATATGTTCTCGGTTCATTTATTGGGTTAGTTAATGGATGTTGTCGTTCACGTTACGTTATTGTCGAATATAGAAACAAAATGACCTCCAAAATCTAGAATTGCTTGGATTATATTGCCATGTGTCGTCATGTATTGAGGAAAAAACCTAGAATCTCTTGGATTATATTGTCATGTAGTCCCATGTATTGTTATATGACAATACAATCCAAGCTATTCTAGGCTTTGAGGGTCATATTGTCTCCAGAATACAATTTGTATTCGTATTTGCACAGCCCTCCAAATTCAGTATTTTTGTAAATTGTTCATTCGAACAATTTTTCTCATTAAATTTTAAAGAAAAATTCATTTTTTTCTCTTTAGAACTCGAACACGAATATATATATATAAGATCATCGCTGACCATCCGATATTACTACTAAAATTAACACATAAACTGGCATCGGCGACAATAAATAAACAGCAATGGATTGATCAGGTTCAAGCGACCATGCAAGATTTGATCTGAACAATCTAGTTCAACAAATAAATTGTTGATTTATATGCTTTTTTTTTTTATTTTAAAAGAAATAACAATTTCTCATAAGAAGAATTCACATTTTTATCGATATTCATTAATTGATCAAAGAATATTCTAACCATCTTGGATAAACTAACAGTCACAGAAAAATTAATAATAATAATAATCTCCCATATGCTTATCGCCCGTTGGAGCCAGTCGCGACTATTATTAGAGACCACATGCGGTCGGTTTCTATCGTCTTTTTCTTTTCACAGACGGCAGTATCTGTATCCCTTTCCGTCTAACGTACTGACTAACGATATATTCAGCACGTTACGAAGAGTCATTCGAGACAACTTAGCCGTTAGTGACTTGTCCAAGGTCATTCCATGGATGGTGATACTGAGGTCTGAACACAGTACCTTGTGGATACGTGTTGAACAACGTAACCACTCAACCATGACGGCTCGACAGAAAAATTATTTTTATTAATTAAATGTTCACTTTCGATAAGACTAGAAACCTATAGAGAACATATAAGATAATTGTATATCTTCTTGATATTATGATATTTATTCGATGTAGCTGTTGTCTTACTCGGCATGTTTATTTTGGTATCAATGATACGATAAATATCAGTGATCTATGTATACGAACACTGATCGTTCTTGCTATTTGTTGTTTACTAATGCCATGACAATAGTGACACTGTTTCATGTCTATCTTCCTGATTTTCTATAGAGAACCATTGATTGAGATAAACTCTCTTATATCTGAAGATTAGATCAATATCTGCAAAATAATTCAGTGAATCAATAAGCAGATTATAGAGCTAGTCTTTTTATTTCTTATTATATTGCGCTTCCTAAGTGTAAAAATCAATTCAACGATGACTCGTTTCAGAATGATTGTTGTTAGATATAATAAATATGTCTACAGATAATTGTATCAGCGAGTATAGTAATCATTGTTATACTAGAAGTGTTCTTCATTTGTACTTAAACCGGTTACATTTTTCGACTGTTCGATGATTTTCATCTTTTTTTCAATGCAACTTTTCATTGTTCTTATTTACAATTATTGATCAGAAAATGTTATTTATCGTCTGAGTCTTATTCTAAGTCAACTTTCATAACAAAAAGGTATTAGGCGTCATCTACAACTTTTGAACTATAGAAAATCATTGATCATACATACAATTGTCTGTTTGATAAATAGTCTTTCATTTATAATTAGAGAATTGTGAGACCAAATGTTTTGCGTTTTTTCGGATTTGACTCGATATCTATTCATATTCGACTTACATCTCTCTTCGAATCTGAATAGAATTATTCCAGAAAAAGACAAAAATGAATAATAACACTACCTTTAGTTGTTTCTTATACAGTGGGTATTCAATTTTCTTCCATCATAGTACTCAGAAAAGTTTCTTTAGATCAAGAGATGCCTTTTTTTCTCCTCATCTACTTTAAATAAAAAAGGATGTGGGTGTGGGTGTGGATATATACTTTCTCCACACCCACAGTTGCACCCCACACCCACACCCTTTTCTTTTTGCTAAAAGTTTAATGCGTTCTCGTTCAACAACATCATCTAATTCTTCATTATCATTATCATCATCATCATTTCTATCAACATGACCATTTGATGATGTCGGAATTTCTTGATCATCATTTTCATCAGGTATATATGGTATTGATTCCATAGATGCTAAATCCATAGCAGCAGCCCAATAATTGACTTTTGCATTTTTACAAATTGTCATTATCTATATTAGAAGAAAAACAATATCATTTGAAAAATAAAGGCAATTATGGATGTACATTCAATGAATCTTATTCGAAAAAAGCACCAACTATTTCACAAACATGACTAACTAATATAAATCGATGTAGTTTATCTAGTAAAGAGACACTAAATATTTGAGTTATCCTATCTGCACTAATAACAGCCAAAACACTATGAAACAAAAATGATTTCCTTTGGTTTTATTTTTATGAAAGAAAAATATAACATACAGAAAATCACTTATCCAATTGATAAATGTTGTTTTATCATGAAATGAACGAAGAATAAATTTTAATGTAAACAAATTGAATTGATGATCAGTACTGAGACAAGTATAGAATTCATATCGATTATTACGACAAAGAGCTACAGATCTATAATATAAAAGATTTTCTTATGTCAAAAAATTATTAATAAAAATTAAAGCTTGTTTAAATCTTAATTAAAACTTTCATTGACAATTCATCTACATTATTAAAATAAATTCGAAACGGAAAAATAATATTACTTCTGTATTAAAAGATTTTTTAAAGTATTATCAAATAGATTTATAATATCTAAATTGTCAATATTATATTTACTTGGAATCAGGACTAAATTTGATTGTACGCACATCATGTCCAAAACGATGAATACCAATCAATCTACGACATTTGACATTATATAAATATCCTCGACCAGCTATGAAAAAATACATGAAATATTTTCAAATTAAAATAATCTACCTCTTACTCTCGTTAACAATAAGTAAAAGTACATCATCAGATGAGAGAGTTGAACAAATACTATTAAATTCACTTTCAAATGATAATGTTTCTGATCGATCACTAAAATAAAATATTGATTTTGATCAACAATTCAAACATATACAATATATTTTTAAATCGATCACATTTACTTGATTACCAACTGATGTGATAAGTGCATTACTATCTGGTATAAAGAGAAGATTACTCTTGTGATAGACAGTAACAAGAAGAGTTAAGAATTAAAATATAAATAATGAAAGAGAAACAATTGAAAAACAAAACAAATATTCTTTTCTTTATAATAATGTAACTTCATTTCAGTTAGAATTATTGCATAAATAGAATCGAATAATGATCTAAAATGGAAAGAAAATTGAAAACTCGCTTATTAAAAAGAATCTATATCTATACAAGAATTTATGAATGTATCTTAATGAATTTGTTAGTTAAACAACAAGTAAATTTCTTTCGAAATGAAAATATTTTCATGATCGAAAATGCAAATTATATTGAGTGTCGAATTAGTTTGATTAATTACAATAGAATGTTGAATTTATTTTTACCGTCAAATAGCTTCTTTCTTTTCTTGACAAATAATAAACTCAAATTCTTTATCAAATATAACTTTATCAGATGTATTAAGATACATCGATAACGCTAATGACTAAAACGAAAATCTCATTTAAATATAAAAATCATATTTTAAAGATATTTCTCTTGAGAAACTACGGTAGAACAAGAGAGAATACTTCATACATTTATCTTCTATGAAGTCCAAAGCAGACCTTAGACTCATAGAGGAGCATTTCCAATCATCCAGACTTCTAATTTTTTGCTATTCGAAAAACACATAATTTGTTCACTCTGAATAGAATATATAAATGAGCTCAAAATTATTTGAGAAGAATTGGTCAATCAGCTTATTTGAATACTTGGGTGAAGTTAGCAGCTGATTCGAGTAATTCCGGTAGCGATTCGCCTAGGGACTTGGTCCAACCTTCCTATTCTCGGTCTAAGTTCAACTCGACGAGCTCTATCCAATGATAACAACTTTTCTAGTGACTATAAACATTGTTTATAATCACTAGAGAAGTTGTTTAATGTTTGTCTATGATTTGTTGTATTTGATGTCAATCATGACTTATTTATGTGAGTTAATAGTTTGTGAAGATTTATCATGAGAAGTTTAGTCTGTTCGTTTTCAAAAGATTTTCTACGATTTCCGTTACTTTTTTTAACGTTGCTTTTTTTTTTTTTATTCTTTATCGATTTGACATGAAGTTTCTATATTCATAGTCTTTATGACTTTATTGAATAATTATGTAAAGACACATAGTTCAAAAATCAACAATACTATTTCAATAGATATGAAGCACTATCTATGAATATAAAACAGTTTGTTTTATTAACGTCGAATGTCGATGGACGACATCTATATAACTATTATTAGAATCGTCGTTTGTTGATTTATGAATAAGTAAAAAAGAGAAGATTATTAACTAAGCAAAATAGTATCCTGTCACATCCGATTGAAATTCTATCATATAATCACAATATATTTTACAGACAATTGCACAATGTCTCTTTTCGCTAGACCCAATATTTTTGTTGCTATTATATTCGGTTGTTTCGCTGTTCTTATACCACGATTTTTTTTGCCATTATTTCGCTCAAGATCATTATCATCAACGGCTCATATCGATGATCGTAAGTATATTTTCTAATTATAACACATGGAATTATTTATATGTTTCAGATTTTCAACAAGTACCATCACCGATATCTCCTAATGATAACGATAAGGTAGTTAAGCATAATTCTATTTTATTTAAGTTTTACAGACAATAAAAATTTTAATTTCGAATTGATTTTAGGATTCTTCACAGTATATACAAAATATATATTCGAATACGCGAATGCCTAATTCTGGTGCTAATGATCAACAACAATCAACAATCGATCCAAATAATTCACAATCAGCTGTAACTTTTGCTTTACCAATGTATACTGTTGGTATAGGAATCTTTTTTATTTATACCTGTTGCAAAGTATGTTAAAACAATATGATAGTATTTATTAAATAATATCTAGATCTATTTTAGTATTGGGCAAAACGTAATAGTCAAGAGAATAAAATAAAACTTCAATATTCAACTAATAATATTCAATGGAATAATGACAAAAGAAAATTTAAATATCATACTAATAATTATCATAGTGAAGATGATGAAGAAAATGACGATTTATACGCTGGTATCGTTTATTAATCATTATATATTTGTTTTTATTTATTATAAAAGAAATCCATTTATTTAAGGATTAGATCCTGATTATGTTGAATATTTAAAGTCGAAAAGACAAAAAGAATTTGACGCTGAACAAAATACTTCAGCTGAACAAAGACAAAGTTTGTTTTTCAAAATATTTTATTTGTTTTTTTTTCTGACGAATAAATTTCGTTTCTTTGTTTAGCGAATCATGCTCTTGATGAAATGAAAAGTTCATTATCATTTATTAGTTCAAAACTTGGAACAAATGAAAGAAAAAATAATTTAACTCACTATGAAATATCACAATTACAAGATCGTTTAGCTTCAACTGAAGCTCAAATGTATAAAATTCTAAATACAATTAATACTGTTGCAAATAAAGTAAATGAATTAAACAAAAACACACGACAATCTCTTGAACAATCAGAAGAGGTTAATTTGAAAAAGAAAAAGAAAATCAAATTTTGTTTTTTTTATTATGTTTCTTTTTTAATATCTAATTATAGAATTTTAATAATGAAGAAGACTATCATTTATCATTAAGATCACATCATGAAGGTGAAGATAGTATAAATGATGAAGAAAATTCAAATAGTGATGATAATTCATTGCATCAAGAAGAACAAATATTATCAAATAATCAAGATGAAACTTCATCATCATCATCATCATATGAAAATGATGAAGAAAATTCTAATGAAATAGAAGATGAAGTAGACGAAGACGAAGACGACGATGATGATAATGAATCTGAATCATCATCTGAGCGCTATGGTATAATGAATACTAATTATGGATCTGATCCAAATGCAATTGATGATTATGAATTAGATGCAAATAAAAGATCTGATCAAACAACTGATAGTCAAACTAAAGTACAAGAATGGCATCAACGTAACCATTCTCAATCACTAAGTAGTAATAATTCGTCAATAGAACAAGATGAATCGATACGAAATGATGAACAAAATCCGTTGAACAAGGCTACAATGTGAAAAATAAACATTTTCCTTTTTTTTTCTCAATCTCATATAAGGTCCCGAAAATTTTTAATGAAATTTTTTTAGCATGGTCGAATAGAGCTGGTCGAGTTGCTCTTTAAAAATGTCGTTTTTGAGCATATTCAGAGGATAAATGAAAACTACGTTACAAAAATCAGAAACAATCGAAACAGGTCAAAAGCATCTCATCTCACGTACGAACTACTCCAAGTGACACCGATCGTTTAAGCTCATATCAGACTCATAGATAGGTCGCGACAAGAATACCAAAAGCCTAAAAATGATCGTTTCCATCGGTCTTAGGCGTCGAGTTATGCAAGATTTGATACAGGGTTTTTGTCTATATATAGGTCTGATGACACTAAGAATATTCTGAAAGTTTCTGCCGAAAAGAATGTTTCTATTGAATTTTCAAGTGAATTCAATTTTTGTGACAAATGGCTATTTTTGGAAAGTCAATATATTGAAGAAGAGGCGTTCTTTTCTTCTGAAACTTTCAGAAAATTCTCAGAGTCATTAGATCTATCCATAGGCAAAATTTTTGATAAAGTTTTCGTTATTCGTTTTTCTAAGAAGGACCTAAAAATGGATTAAAAATCCAGACAACAGGTCATAACTTGGTATCAATTGAAACGAACACTTTAAAACTTGCTAGTCTGACTAAGACCTGCATGTGAATACAATATGAGCTCGAACAGTGGTTGTTTCTTGACGTAGTTCTTTCATGTGGTTTGATGCTTTTGATGTATTTCAATATTTTTCACTTGATTCTCGCTTATCATCTGAATATGTCAAAACCATCATCTTTATAGAGTAACTCGATTAGCTTTATCCAACGATGCGAAAAAAAAAATACTTTGCTCAAATTTCCGATACCTTATTTTTCTAGTCATTGTAGATATAAATTTTCTTTTAACAGCTTTAATACTTGTTTGTCAATAATTTAAAATTCATTTTGCTTTTAGATTAGGAATAATGGCTGATAGATTTAAAAATGTTCGTGTACCTGGTCCAAATGATAATATTTATAAAGATGAATGTCTTTATTCATTTGATAATCCGGAATCTGAAAATGGTCTTTATATTTGTATGTCAACATTTCGTGGACTTGGAAAAGATCATCTTGAACGACATTGTAATAATAATCCAGGAAAAAATGTTTTTTTACATATTGTACGAAAACGAAAACCAATACCAGTCGATGCTAACATTGAACCAACTAAAGTAACAAAATTAGCCATTGGTGTTGAAGGTGGTTTTGATGTAAATCAGTCAAATCGATTTACATTTGAAGAACAATATTCAATTTATATTCATCCAAATATAACTATTCATTATCCAGATGAATCTAATCAATTACCTGAACATGTTAAAAAATCAGCTGATGCTATTATAGCTGCTGATTCAGCATTTTTAAAAGAAGAACGTTCACTTATGAATGCAACATGGAATGGAGAAATTCGTCGTGTAACAAAACATACTCAAACATTAAACCAATTAAAAAATGGTCGAAAAATTCCACCAAATGGTTGGAAATGTGATCAATGTGATTTAACAGAAAATTTATGGCTTAATTTAACTGATGGATCAATTTTATGTGGAAGAAAATTTTTTGATGGTACCGGTGGAAATAATCATGCTGCTGAACATTATTATAAAACAAAATATCCATTAGCTGTCAAACTCGGTTAGTTATTTCAAGTTTCAATATGTTATTTTGAATCAAATTTTATGTTTTGAATATATTTTACACTCTTGATAAAGTTAGTTCGTTCATTTATTACACATTAGGCTATAATTGATATTGATATATATTGAATGATCGAAAAGTATTTTGATAAAATGTACATTCGTTTTTCAGACTCTTAAAAGAGATTGTAGCAATTTTAAAACATTGATTTTTGTATTGTTTCCAAATATAGCTTAAACAAATCTCTAAGATTTCTGATTTAGGAATTATGAGTCGACCCGTTTAGAGACGTGAAAATTAATTTTGAACGGAGACAATGAATGTTTTTCTTTGTAGCGATAGAGTGTTTCGCTTTTTAAGTTGGATTATTAAGTTTTTTTCGCATAAAATTAAAAGTACGTTTGTTCTCTACAAAGTTATATAAAAATCAAAAGTTTCAAAAAAAAAAATTCATTTTGGAACGACTAAAATCATTTTGTAAGTCTTTTTTCATAGACGTTGAAAAAGTTATCTAAATTGACATGGTATACCTTAACAAAATATTCCCTGTTGGCAAGGGACTTGCAGCAAACTAATCATTGTTAGAGAAATGTTTATTCTTTCATTCTCTGCATCTGATGTAATTTTTAGCTTCTATTTTGGATAAGATTTGGCGTGCTGCAGCTCGTCCAAATTCAGTTTACAGGCCTTGTTTTAAACTAGAAATTCTACAAAAATTTTGAAGTTATCTTAGCGAAAAATACAAAATTCTGATATTAACTCAGTATTGTCAAACTTTCATAAACTGAAAAATGAACGAAGATTTCGTCAAATTAATGTTCGATAATCTGTCTATGTAGTTTCTCGGTTTAAGAGTAATAAATTATATGAAAAGTGATATTTCAAAAAAAAAGTAGCTATTTGTAGCTGGAAATAAATGAATTCGCTTACGTACAATACGTAAAACCATCATACTTGACGTGTTTTTGAAAGTTTAGAACATATTTTAGTTTACAGAAAGAAAACTAAAGTCTAATAACTCAATTTAAAATCATTAAGTCTTGAGTAGAAATGTGCGAACCTTCGAATATTCGTCTCGGCCACCGAGAGTAAAGTTGGTTTCGTATATGTCTAGTCTTGAATGTAGCTAAATAGAAACATTTTTAGTAACTTTTCCTTTCTCCCCTTTTCTTAGACATAGCTTATCGATCGATCGTATGGATTCTTCAAATTTTTGTTTTGGAAGTTTTTAACATCATGTTATTTTTAGGAACAATTACAGCTAAAGGTGCTGATGTTTATTCTTATGATGAAGATGATATGGTTGAAGATCCAAATCTTGCTATTCATCTATCACATTGGGGAATAAATATGCTTAAAATGGAAAAAAGCGATAGATCAATGGCTGATTTAGAAATTGAATTGAATCAAAAATATGGTGAAGCATCTATGATTGAAGAAGCTAATTCAAAATTACAACCTGTACATGGACCAGGTAGAGAAAATTATAATTTTATTTTTAATAATTATTTATTATTTTTAGGTTATACGGGAATGAGAAATTTAGGCAACTCATGTTATATGAATTCTGTAATACAAGTTTTATTTACTTTAAAAGATTTTCAAGAAAAATATTATCAACATTGTGATTTTTATTTTGATAAAGCTAAAGATCCAGCAAATGATTTTAATGCACAAACAGCTAAGTTAGCATTTGGTCTTTTATCTGGTCGTTATTCAAAAGAACTTCCATCTAATAATGATATATCATTACAAGCACCATCAGGTATTCGTCCACAAATGTTTCGTTTATTAATTGGACGTAATCATCCGGATTTTGGTACAAAACAACAGCAAGATGCTGCTGAATTTCTTCAATATTATATTGAACAAGTACATAATCATTGTAAAAAAGATCCAACACCAAATCCATCACTTGATCCAAGTACTTGTTTTCAGTTTGAACTTGAAGAACGTATTTACTTGCCTGAAACAAATCAAGTACGATATTTAACACGTAATGATTCAATGTTTAGATTAAGTGTACCATTATCAGCAGCAAGAAATATGCATGAAGTACTACAATATAATAAAACAAAAGAAGATATGGAAAAACAAGGCAAAAAATTAAATGATTTACCAGTTGTACGTCCAATTATACCACTTAAAGAAGCTATATCACAATGGGCTGCACCAGAAGAAATTCATGATTATAAATTACCACAATATGGACGTACTACAACAATAAGAAAAACACAAAAATTTTTAACTTTTCCTGATTATCTTTTTATTCAATTAAAAAAATATACATTTAATCCTGATTGGACACCAAGAAAAATTGATGTTTCAATGGAAGTACCTGATGAACTTGATCTTAGTTCATTACGTGCAAAGGGCGTTCAACCTGGTGAAATAGTAATGGTTGATGGTAAAACGAAAATTCTTCATTGTTTACTTTAAAAAAAAAACAAATTCTTCTATTATTTAGATGATGAACCAACAGGACCATCCTCTGTTTCTGTTAATGAAGTTCTTTTACAACAACTTGTTGATATGGGTTTTTCAATGGAAGGTTGTAAACGCGCATTAATCAATACGGGTAATAATGATATTGAAGCAGCTATGAATTGGGTATTTGAACATCAATCGGATCCAGATTTTGACACACCATACCAAGCACCAAGTAAAAAAGCTCGTGTTGAACAAACGCAAACACCACCTGTAAGTTATCTTCTCTTACAGATTAGAACAGCTGTCAGTACAATCCATGCAGGACTAAAATTTGCAAAATGATATAGCTATTCTTCTTCTTCTGAATTACTGAGTAGTATAGAAATTTCTACAAAAAGATGAAACAATTTTTATTAGTTCAATAATATTTATGAAAAAGTAACAATAAAGAAAATTATAAGAAAATAAACAGCATCAAATATATTGTTGTCGGTTAAAAAAAGACAGAAATATATATATCAGAAAATCTCTATTTTGTTTAAGTTTTGTATAATTTCTATCAATGGTCGATTATTTTGATTCATCTCGTATGTTACTTTTATATTACCATGCACTAATATTGTTATTTTTTCATGAATATTATTATATATGCAGTATATTTCTTTTATTATTATCATACTTGAAATAAGCACCAATGCTCGTTTTACGCATGTTTTCTCTTCGCTATTATGCGCAAGAGAAATAACATGACGTCTTTCTCTTCCAACATATTATTGCAAAAAAATAATAGTAAAAAGAGAACTGGTACTACATCTTCTACTGGAAGTTTTTCTGGCATTATTTTCTTTTAAATGAAAATCTATATGATAAAGAG